ACACACTGTGACTGGTTTCTACCCTCTGTCTGTGTGACTGAGCCTCACCCGGTCGTATTTCTCTCGTAGCTTCTGGGCCTTCTCCTCGTACGGCAGCTTCTCAGACTGCGACAGCTTGCTCCACATCTCTCCCAGCTTCTTGGCACAGTCTCCTATAGACAGCCCAGGATACTGCTGCTTCACACTGGGACGGTACTCGCTGCAGAACACGAAGAACGCAGACCTGCAGACAGACAGGCTAGAGCTGATCCAGGATCTGCCTCTGTGTTTGAACTCAAACATGAGCAGCCCTGTGCTGCCCCCTGCTGGCACTCTCAAACCACACACTCAGTGTGTTTGGGCTCTTACATCAGTACATGAGGTGTGTCAGGTGCTACCTGGACCTTCAGAGTGTGTTTGGGGTCTTACGGGGGTCTTTTGGGGGCGTTGGGGTCTTTCCTCTTGCGGCCCCTCTTTCCGAAGCCTTTGGGGGGGACGTAGTCTTTCATCTCACGGTTGTAGCGCACCTTATCGGCTTTGGCCATGTCCTCGAAACACTTCTTATCACTGGGAGACAGAGCCTGGAGGCAGAGAGCAGACAGTCAGTGTGTGACCTCTGACCTTTGAACTCCCGGGGTCACACTTACAGAAAACAATGCAGAATAATACAGAATCGATTCAGGGCGAGGACCAGTTTTCCTGCTGGGACCAGTTGAACACAGCTGGAATCCAGATGCTTCCATCAGCAGGTAAGAGCAGCTGCACCTGTCTGCTTCAACCACAGCTGCACACATCTGTCTCAGGGTTTGACCTGAGCTGCAGTGGAGCACTGATCAGCGACTCCCTGCAGTGGATCTGTGCTGCAGATGTTACAGCTGTTATCAGTCCCTGTCTCAGAGCTTTGTCTACACTGGAATGAAACATGGGAATAATGCAGTCATGTGACCTGCACACAGAGGAGAGCGTGAGCTCCTCAAACCTGACCAGATGTGTTCAACTAAAGTGCTCACATGATGTACGAGTCCAGCACACAGGAAGTGATCATGTTGTTCTGTGGAGCCGGTCTCTTACATTAAGGGTTGAACTGTTTCCTGTCCCTGACAGTTTACAGCTGACAGTACACACACACACACACAGTACTGTTAGCTGCTCGCAGACCTCCTCAGCCCTCCGTGAGGCCCTGAGCTCCTCTGAGCTCCTTCATCCAGTGAAGAACATGTGATCTCAGCTCACACTGACCGTGCTGACTGATGCTCACAACTGCACGTTTCACACATGCATCCAGATGTTGTTCTGTCCCAAACCTCTGGGCCCTGAGCAAACGGTCCTGAGGATGGAGGCTCGGGTGGAGTCAGGGTTTGTCAGAGGAGAGCTCATGGTTATCTGTTGGGTGAGAGGCTGTAACTGTGTGACTGTGACTCATGACTTTAACTGATCCA